TAATATAATTAAATTAAAAGTGAGTATTAAATTAAAAATGAAAACAGGGACGGGTACGGGTACGGGTACGGGTACGGGGCGGGTAAGTACATACCCGTACCCGTACCCGTACCCGATTTAATATATCGGGTTTTACCCGTACCCGGTCAAATCGGGTATTCCCCGTCAAAGTCGGGACGGGTTCGGGTATCACCCGCGGGTACAGGTATATTTGCCATCCCTACTTGCAAGCGTTTAACGACAAATATAAACTTGAAGCGTTGCGTGCTGTTCCATGCCGCGTGCAAAAAAAGTTATTTTTATATTGAAACAATAATGTGAAATCTTGATAAGTTTAAATTTCCGTGTATTTTTTTTTTAAATAAATGATAAAAATATTGAAATTAAATATATGTGGGTAGTTAATAATTAAAGAGTTTAAACATTTTAAAGAGTTATTTAAAGGATGTCAGAAATTTAAAATATAAATTTACAAAAAAGTAGAGAGAAAAGAGAATCAAAACTTAAAAATAGTACGGGACAAAAAGATTGCTTTGGAAGTCAAGACAAAATAATCAACAAAATATATATAAATTTTTATTATTAGTAGTATAGATATCTTTGTAATCGTGACACAATATGTACAAGCTTAGAAATCTCCTTATTTAAATTTACTAAAGGTTGGGTAATTTGAACTTTTGTTTTTTTTTTTTAATAAGTTTTTGGTGTGATTGAAATTGGATTTGGTCTCTGTTCTTACAAAAGAAGTAAGCACTCAATCCTTCTTGCAACGACTCCAAGTATGCTCTTGTTTTTGGATGGTGGCAAAATTTGTCAAAGACACTTTAATGCTTAAGTTAGAAATGTCTCTTAAGAAAATGATTACTCATTGTCTAAATTTGAAAGTTACCTCTTAGACAAGGGAAAGGGAATATTTATACCATGAAGAAATGTTACTATTCCTAGAAATATAATAAAGAAATTTAATTATCTATATTAATGATAAGTAATGATTAGGTGTGACTTTTATAGTTATGTAGCCATTCTTAAGATGACAATGAATAAGGTTGAGATATTTTTTGTTAGAAACGACCTACTCCTATTTAAGATTAATTAGTACTTGGTCAAAGATTTTTTGGACCTATCGAGTACAGTCTTTAAATATTGAATCTGAATCTTGTAAATAAATAAAAAATAATAATAGTTTAGATAAGAGATTTCATATCGATAATATGACTATTCAAAAGATACATTTTTTAATAAATAGAATTTAATGTATAATTAATATTTATATCTAATTCGTAATATAAATTATAATATTTTTAATTATAATCAAATTCGTATGAAACACAAGATAATTACCTTCATTTAAGTACAAAACCTAAAAGATAGAATATATGTAGTGTTAAATGACTTCATAATGTGTGTCTATAAGAGTACAACTTTTTTTAATTGAAGCATAATGACAGTTATTTAAGAATAAATGCTTATATTTAAAAAAATTCAACTAAAACATAATATTTTCAAAGCGTATAGAGTAAGAAACTATTAAAAATAACACATAAGAAGGGATTGAATTATATGTTAAAAAAATTTTGTTTAAAATTTTTCAACCCATGTTAGTTTAGCAAGTTAGTAAGTAAAAGTGAATGTACAAAGCATATGTGGAGAAAAGAAAGACACTAGAAGAGGGCTAAAATGGTATCAATCAACAACTCAATACATTTTGAAACAACGAAGTAGTATCAAGGCCTTAAGAAGAACACATAATGTTTTTATATTGGTTTGTCTCAACTACTAAGACTACGTCCATTTATTGATCAACTTGATAAAGTTCTACCATCTTTCACAAAGATACAAGTATTCTTTCACAAGCTACTTTTGGCTCAACCTAAGTATTCTTTGACTTGCCTTTTCAAGCATCTATCCATGTATTCCTTCAACACAAAGTCTCTCCAAGTTTTAACAACCAAGTATTCTTTTATAAATAAGTCTCTCCAGGCTCTAACAATCAAGTATTTTTTTACAAACAAGTCTCTCTAAGCTCTAACAATCAAATATTTTTTTACAGACAAACCTCTATATGCTATAACAATCAAGTATTCTTTTATAAACAAGCCTCTTCAAGATTAAAGCAATAACATAAAGTTAAATCTTGGTAAAATGACTATGTTGTTTCGTATTACTATCAAGATATGATACAACCAATTAAGTACAAGGTTTATTACAAAAAGAAAGAATATATTTTTATAATGAATGTATCTCTACTTTTTTCTATCTAAATCTTTAAGCTTCTCAATATTGGTGTTTTATGAAGATAACCAACGCAAATCCTTAACATCTCTCATAGACTTACTTCATTTGTCTTCATCTTCATTAAATGTAGAGAGAAATTATCGTTGGTGCATTAAATTCTTGCAATAAATATATTTCCCCAAATTTTTAGTTCTTATAGGATTAATGGAGCTACTTATCACCTTTTAGGTGCCAAACAAAAGGAACCACACGTGTGTCTATCCAAAGCAACTTTTTTTTTTTTTTGAAGATTTTTGTGCTTCAAGGGATATGCTAGTTCTTTTTTAGATGCAAGACATATATTTAGTTCTTTTAGTGATTTGTGAGTACCGAAGAAGCTTTTTCCATTTGATATGTTAAGGAATCATGTAGACAAATATGATTATGTTATCAAACATCACGAATGATATAAATACAAAGCATATTATCATACAGATGAAGTACTTCGCTTGTGAGACTTAATGTCAAGATAACCAATCATTTTATAACTGTTGGAGAAAAGATACACACTAGAAGGGGGATTGAATAATGTATATCAAAAGCTCAAACTTTTGAAAACAGTGAAGTAGTAAAAGCTTGACAAATGAAGTGTTATATTGGTTCATCTGAAACAGAGACTACATCCAATTCTCAATCCAACCAGATTGAGTTCCACTATCTTTCATAAGATATAAGTATTCTTTCAACAAGTCACTTCTAGCTCAACCCCAAGTAGTCTTTTAACTTGCCTTTCCCAACAAACAACCCCAAGTATTCTTTAACAAATAAGCCTCTCCAAGCTTAATAACCAAGTATTCTCTTAACTACAAGCCTCTTTAGGCTCAATCCTTACAAATAGAAATTTGAAAAGAGTTACAAGGATAGTTTCGTCTCTCCTAGACGTGATGCTATGAAAATTAAGCACAAACAAACTGTACAAGACAAACTTTATCTATAAGGTATGCACTTTAGAAAATTTTCACAAAGTGGTATCTTCGTTTCTTGTATGTTATGAATACCACCATGGTCACTTCAAGCTCCCATGGTTATGCACTTTATCTATAAGGTATGCACTTTATCTATAAGGTATTCTATTCAATTTTTATTTTGATAGTATAATTGCCTTATATTCTTTCTTTTCGGTTAAAAGGCTTCAATTTGCCTACTAGGGGTTTGTGCACACACACTTGGTTCTTGTGCAAAATTGTTTTATGAGAAAAGTATAAGGAGACTTAGTGATTTTGATGGAATCATTCCAAGGAGGCCAAGAGGTGACACATTGAAAGACCCAAGAGGAATGGGCTAGATATGAAGATTTGGCTATTTCAGAGCTTGATAGGCCTAGTGGGCTTGATGGGCCCAAGTTGCTCTTCACTTGGGTCACACACTGAGATACCCTACTTGCATATATTATATTAATATAGCATTCATATATTTTGGTCTTGTATTTTGGACCATATAGATTACGGTTTTTGGGTCATAGGCTTATTGAGTATGTTTTCGGGCTTAATGGGCCTTGGGTATTTTGGTACCCATTATTGGACTCATTTTTCTTCTTTTATTATTTCTTAGTGTTTGTGACAAGTTGGACATTATATTTAGGACATTAGAATAGGATTTGAAGAGAAATACTTAATTAGGCAAAGTTAGAAAATTTAGATCACATTTATGTTTAATTTGAGATGCATTTGGAACACATGTGTTAACCTAAGGTTGCTTGCACATGATCAGCTCCTAAGCACCTTCAAATCAACTCTAAGTGCAATCTAAATGAAATTGGGGCTGAACATGGCATAACATGTGGCTGCCAAAATTTGAAATTCAAATTTCCATTTGAATTTCAAATTTTTGGGTGCCTAGAATCCTACCTTGTAAATTGGCGCCAATTCCACTCTCACTTGGACTATAAATTGAGTTCTTCTCTCTTCATTCTTTTCACTTTTGAATATATGATATTTTCAGCACATTTTCTCAGCCAAAATCTCTCATAAAGCCCCCAAAGTAATGCTTAGAATTAGGAGAACCTTGAAAGCTTATAGGCTAAACCTTGTGAGCAATCTTTTGCTCCTTTAGGCTTAGGTGCCTCCTTCTATTCTCTCTTGTGTTTCCTCATCCATTTCTGGATTCAAAAGTCCAAAATCACCTCAAGGAGAAGATCAAGATGTTGGAGCAAAGCCAAGGGAAGTTCATCATTCACTTCACCTAGTTTTGCTGTCATTTTTTATATCTAGAGCTTTGGTTATTTCCTTGAGGTTAAGTGCTTCTTTTCACTGATTGTTTTTGT